GAAACACAAAAATCCTTTAGTTCAAGTAGTCCAGTGTCGCTTAATGTTTCAATCTCATCTTCAACTAACACTTTCTGGTCCGAGTTTGCTCCTTACTGCCCATATTATCCACGAAAATAGATTTACCTTAACAGAACCCCTTCATTGACCTCTCCATATCAATAACTGTATACAATAAAAATCCCTGACCTTTCTATTTTCAAAAACCATAGGTTGATCTCTTGCTATGCCACAGATGCTTACGCCCATACAAAACCAATTTCAAAAGAAGAGCTTCTCCTTCCAGTATTGATTGGTCTACTCAAACCAACATAAGAAGGGTAGTAGATTTATATAATCTCGAGTCCAAAAACCCTTTTTCACTCAAGGGATACTTGTATTTCATGAGCATATATTTCCCTTCGTCCAAACAAATTCATTCCAGTAATCAGTCTCATCCTTCGCTTGCCAAAATACATCACTGACCATAATTCTTTCTTCTTATTCCCAACCTTTACAAACATGATACACCTTCTCCATACCAAGCACCTTCAAGCCCCCTTAGCTACAAGCAGCCTTACACCAGAACATTACCTTACCAGGAACTAGACCACCAGATCGGACCACCCGAACCACTTGAAACTCTAAACCAAATTCCTTCAAAACGGCGTGATTTGCAGAATAAGTAAGGAGCACAAACAACATAACAAATGCCAAAGATGGTTGGATGCATTTGTGGTTGGTGTCCTACATAACTAATACCAAGCAGATTATAGCACTCAGCTTGCACATCCTCAGGTACACAAACATCTTTACTCTCCTTTCTCCCACAATTACGTCACCAAATTTTTGTTGCTCAAGTGTAGTGTCAAATATTCAGGAACCTAAGTCTTACAGTCAAGCCAGAGGTGATAGTAAGTGGGTAGCTGCCATGGAACTTGAACTTAATGCCCTGGAACAAAATCAGACATGGGTCATCACTGATTTGCCAAAAGAAAAAAAACCAATTGGGAACAAATGGATCTACAGAATCAAACATAATCCTGATGGGAGCATAGACAGGTATAAAGCAAGGCTTGTAGCTAAAGGGTATAAAGCAAGGCTTGTAGCTAAAGGGTATAGTCAAATCCCTGGAATTGACTACACTGACACATTTTCTCCTGTTGCTAAATTGGTAACAGTCAGAACCTTCTTATCTATTGCTACTGCAAAATCATGGCACATTCACCAACTAGATATTAACAATGCATATCTTCATGGTGAAATTACTGAAGATATCTATATGTCACCCCCACCAGGCTATCACAAAGTCCCTCAAGGCAAGGTTTGCAAATTATTAAAAGGTTTGCAAATTATTGAAGTCCCTCTATAGTCTCAAACAAGCTGGGCGGCAATGAAATAAGGAATTTACTTCCTTTCTTTTATCTTTGGGCTTTATTCAATCACCAAATGACCATTGCTTATTCACACAAGGGTCTGAAAATAATTTCCTATCTTTATTAGTATATGTTGATGACTGTTTAATTGTAGGAAATAATTTCAGTCTCATTTGTGATCTCAAACAATCCTTGCATTCTAGATTCACTATCAAAGATCTTGGGAAAGCCAAATATTTTTTAGGCATTGAAATTGCTAGATCACAGCACGGAATGATTCTTTCTCAACAGCAATTCATCACTAATATAATCTCAGACACTGGTTTATCTACAGCCAAACCAGCACAAACTCCATACAGTCAGGGCACCAAGTTAACAGCTAATATGGATAATTTACTTCCTGATCCTGAACCTTTCAGAAAATTGCTTGGTAGATTACTTTACTTGTCACTCACAAGGCCTGACATTTCCTTTGCTGTATAGCAGTTGAGTCAGTATATGCAAAGTCCTTGATCTTTCCACTACAAAGCTGCTCTGCATATTGTAAAGTATCTTCTCGGCACCTTATCTGTTGGATTATTTTTCCCAAGCAATAACAACTTTCAAATTACTGCATATTCAGATGCAGACTGGGCTGCTTGTGTAGAAACCAGAAAATCTGTCACTGGTTTTTGCATCTTTCTTGGAGATTCTCTCATTTCATGGAAATCCAAGAAACAACAAATTTCGCTATGCAGACGTGAGTGTGGAGGACTGCTTGTGGCAGAAACCGAGAGAAATCTGTCACTGTTTTTGCAGATGCTTTCTTGGAAGATTGCTCTCATTGTTCATGGAAATAACCAAGAAACCACGATGTTAGTAGATCCAAATCTGCAGAATCAGAAGATACAGAAGTAGCCTCTATCAGGTTTTGTGAAATTCAACATGGCTTCTTTCAAAAACCTTGCTTATGCAGGATTTTCATATACCTAATCCCACCCTCTACCTATGACCCTCTGGTTATTGTGTACAATAAAGCTTAGGCCATCCAATTGCTGATGTGCTAGATGCACTGTCCTGATTCATGAAAGCGTACAAAGAAATATGATATAGATGGTTCCGACATTGTTAGAATCCAAATTATCCTCACGGTTGAATAGACTACTCCGCCACATCCTTGGACAAAACGACTAACCAGCTGACCTTTTCACACCGAAAACCACTTACCATTTCCATAACCTCCTTCCGGATCATTTTCAATCTCTCATGTCCTTGGGATTTCGGCTACCACTCTCCCAACCATTCCATCTCTTGAAGGGGGGCTGTACAGAATAATCCATACCCTAAAAATAACTAACGTTCAACACACCTACAACGCCTGTTCAATATACCCAGTACCCAGACAAGCATACACCCAAACAGATGCCTAACAGCAAACTATCATTAATTAGCCTCTATTATTCATATGTCCATTTTCAATTGCTATAGGTTATCCATAATCATTTACTTATCTATTCATTTATTTCAGCACATTAATATAATCCAATGTACAGAATTTAGTCTACCAAGATAGATTATAGATACATTTTTACAGCTACCATTCTTTTGAGACTTATCTCTCTATTTTTTGTGGATAGTTAATTTCACGGCTCTTGTAGCTGAATACATATGAGATACTTGAGAAATAAAATACAAGAGCAAGTATTTTTTTCTCGTCATGTCCAATATTTTGAATTACTATATAAAACTGTTCGCAGATCCCTTTTCCATACGTGTTATAGATTGAAGATTGCCGTTAATGGATGGTGTCACTGATGTGTATACTTTCCTGGAATTAATATTAACTGTATAAGGTGTCGAGTCCGCTTGCAGGAGAAAATATTATAATCTAAGATTACTACAAAATGTGCTATTAGATACTGATAGCTAATCAGCATGTAGGACACAGTTTTCAATCTATTGTCTTGCAAAACATAAAATAACATCAGCAATATAATCCAATGTACAGAATTTATCTACCAATTAGATTTAGACATTTAGCTAATTCTAGATTATTCTCTTTTTGTATATAAATTCACTCTGTAGCTGAACATTGATACTTGAGAAATAAAATACAGAGCAATATTTTTTCTCCAATATTTGAATTCAAAAACTGTTCAGACCCTCCACGGTATAGAGAAGTTGCGTTAGGTGAGTATCTTTCCGGATTTTATTCTAGGCCGCTTGAGGAGAAATATAATCTAGATTACTACAAAATGTGATGATACTGATAGCTAACTGAGGACAGTTTCATTTTGTTGCAACATAAATAACCAGAGGTATTGTTATGCCACTGTAATTGAACTAGTCGAGTAAGAAAATTCGTTACCTTAATAACAGCAATAGCATTTGTAAATATATCTTTAAGATTTTTTAAAAAAACCTTGCTGTGTTCGGTTTATGTTTCCAAATAAAAATGACTAAGGCTCCGATTTAAGATAGTTAATTTGGCAGTAATTGATTTTTGCAGACATAAACTAGGTAGCATAGTCTATACTCGACAGTTCCAATGGTTAGGTCTTTTCTTTTCTTTTTCAATCATAACTCCAAACCACGAAACCAAGGTGGGGTTGTTGCATCAAGTGTCAACAAAAATCTTATTCTATAGTTTCTTGTCACAGAACTAAACTAGAATAACTCAGTAAGTTAATCAGGAACAGGACAGACGGGATCTCCTTTTGCCCCAACTTTTGTTCGATTGTCTTGTTTGAAAATCTTATTATAAATCCTGCTCAGAAAAAACAAAATAATTCTAATAATTTTATTTATCTTGTTTTTCAGTCAATTGCTTGCTGTATTGGATGTTAGGTGGATACATGTTTGTTTGCCGTTTACTACAAAAAAGGAAAAAGAAAAAAAAAATCAAAATATTAAACTCTAGCATGTAATTCTTTTAAAGGTAGTTTAGATTGATAAAATATGAAATCCATGAATTTTATAATATCTATAGAATGTAAATCCATGATCGTGAAATCAATGGAATTTCGCATTCCATCCTTTGGTTGGAAAAAAACATAATCTATGAATTTACAATTCTTCTTTAGAATAAAATTAAATGGTTTAAATTACTTTATTAATAAAAATTACAGAATTAAAAAATTCCACGATATCTACGACAACTTTCCACTGTAACTTAGCTGGGATTCTAGTAAGTCATTCTTTACAGTTATATTTATAAAATGAAGTTTGTAAATTTTTAATTATAATAAACGCGATAAAGTGCATTGATGTAAATTCAAGGGAGGATGAAATTATGGATACTGGATCCAGCCTTTGATTCTAATTTCTAACGTCAATTGCTGTAATGTAGAGAATCGATTTTGTTTTACGTTTTGTTTCAGCTTGCATTATATTATATATATAGATTCTGCTATTTCTTGTTTATTATTTTATTGCTCACTGTATGTAATTAAGAAAATGTAAGCTTACATTCTACCTTAAAACACTTTTAAAATAGAAAATCTCTTCCTTTCAACTTGGGAATCATAGCCAATAACCAGTTAACAAAGATTAAATTAAGTATACAAGACAAAATTGAATCATTAACTACTAGTTTCTATAAATTCATTTGTAATCATAGAAAGCTATCACAGAGTGAAAGAAATAGAAATCATAAGCAATACTAAAATGGAATTTGGTTACGATCGTAAGGAAGAGCTTAAGTCTTTTGATAACACAAAACTTGGTGTTCGAGGACTTGTAGATGCTGGTGTAGTAAATATTCCCAAGATGTTCGTTCGATCGTCAGATGAACTCACTGAGGACCTCGACCACCCTCGGACCACCCACATTGGTCTTCCGGTCATCGAACTTACTGGTCTTTTGACCTCTAATCGTGGGAAGATTGTTGATCAAGTCCGGAGGGCATCGGAGGAATGGGGATTTTTTCAGGTGGTAAATCATGGAATACCCTTAGATTTGCTGAATAACATGATAAATGCTGTACGGAAATTTAACGAGCAAGATATTGATGTAAAGAAAGAGTTTTATTCTCGTGATACAAATCGAAGAGTGAGATTTAACAGCAACCACGATTTGTTTCAATCTGAAAGAGCTGATTGGAGAGATACATTTTCTGTTTCTATGCTTAGATCAGACCATATTGACCCAAATGAGTTACCTGCCATTCTCAGGTATTTAATTAAACTAATGTAGAGGTGATTCCAGTAACATAAATTTTTCATTTAACACAGCTAATTATTTGTTTATGTTTATAGAGATGAAGCTGTTGAATTCATAGATCAAATCGGAAAAATTGGAGACACTCTCTTCGAATTATTATCAGAAGCTCTTGGTCTGAAACCTGAGTACTTGAAATCTATAGAGTGTAACAAAGGCCGTACCACTGTTTGTCATTACTATCCAGCATGTCCTGAACCCGATTTGGCCATGGGAGTAACTAAGCATACCGATAACACATTCCTGACTGTTCTTGTTGAAGACGAGACTGGTGGTCTTCAAGTGCTTCATGATAATAAATGGGTTGACGTTCGACCTATTCCTGGAAGCTTGGTAGTCAACATTGGAGACCTTCTTCAGATAGTGTCAAATGACAAGTTCAAGAGCAACGTGCACAGAGTGCTCCCAAGCCGTAGTCCAAGAATTTCAGTAATAGGGTTTTTTGCAGGACGTGTAGCTCCACCGGCAAGATTGTATGGTCCGATAAAAGAATTGTTGTCTGAAGAAAATCCTCCGAAATATAAAGAAGTCCTGGTTAGTGAATATGTTGCAAGGTTCTTTAACAAAAAACTCCATGAGAAGCCAAGCCTTGATGATTACAGACTCTGAAGCTGCTAATAATACCTCCAGGATTAAACAAAACTATGTGTAGTGTCACCGTCACCAATAAATGTGGTTTCACGTTGTATTTGAACCATGAAATTTTCCAATTAATAAATAAAACGCTGCAGGTATTTAATTAAACTAATGTAGAGGTGATTCCAGTAACATAAATTTTTCATTTAACACAGCTAATTATTTGTTTATGTTTATAGAGATGAAGCTGTTGAATTCATAGATCAAATCGGAAAAATTGGAGACACTCTCTTCGAATTATTATCAGAAGCTCTTGGTCTGAAACCTGAGTACTTGAAATCTATAGAGTGTAACAAAGGCCGTACCACTGTTTGTCATTACTATCCAGCATGTCCTGAACCCGATTTGGCCATGGGAGTAACTAAGCATACCGATAACACATTCCTGACTGTTCTTGTTGAAGACGAGACTGGTGGTCTTCAAGTGCTTCATGATAATAAATGGGTTGACGTTCGACCTATTCCTGGAAGCTTGGTAGTCAACATTGGAGACCTTCTTCAGATAGTGTCAAATGACAAGTTCAAGAGCAACGTGCACAGAGTGCTCCCAAGCCGTAGTCCAAGAATTTCAGTAATAGGGTTTTTTGCAGGACGTGTAGCTCCACCGGCAAGATTGTATGGTCCGATAAAAGAATTGTTGTCTGAAGAAAATCCTCCGAAATATAAAGAAGTCCTGGTTAGTGAATATGTTGCAAGGTTCTTTAACAAAAAACTCCATGAGAAGCCAAGCCTTGATGATTACAGACTCTGAAGCTGCTAATAATACCTCCAGGATTAAACAAAACTATGTGTAGTGTCACCGTCACCAATAAATGTGGTTTCACGTTGTATTTGAACCATGAAATTTTCCAATTAATAAATAAAACGCTGAGTTTGTATTTAAAAAAAGAAAATTGCTCAGATGCACAACGAAAATAAAAGAAGAACAATTAATTTTTTTTTATTCTGATAATCAATGGATTATTAAATATATTAAAAAAAATCAAAAAATAAAGGAAGCTCGGGTGTTGGAATCATTGATAACATATCATTTTCTGATACTATTTTCAAAAGAAATTCCTTGAGAATGCCGATATCAAATGGCTTCTCTGATTAGATAATTGATTCATTTTACCAATTTGAAAAGAAGTAACCACCAAATTGTGGGTTTTTGGTGGATTTCTGTCTGGACCTTCTAAATGCTTTATTAACTGTTAGAAAAAAGAAAGAAAGAAAGAAAGAGAAAAGAAGTGGGTGCGTAAAGAGAAAGGAACTTGAATAAAATAAAAACCCATTTGTTGGTAGGTCATACAAAGGAATGGGAAACACAATTTAGATTTTCCATCACTTATTTTTCAACTCAATTTCAGGTATGGGTTATTGTCAAAACCATTTGTTCAACCATTTTGACAACTCGTGTTTCATTTTCAATTTCTCAAATTCAACTAAACTGTAATAAAATATACAAATTAGAAAATACTTAATTACATATAGATAATAAAATAATTTGATTACCACTTGAAAAACCGGTTATGTTTTATCCTTTTTTACATAATAAATGAATATTTATATTCTAATTTACATTAATTTATTTTCAAAAAAAAATGTTAATTCTTATTGATAAATAAATATTAGATACTAATATATTTTTCAAATATACTAAATAAGTATAAAAGATATCAAATTAATGTATGTTGGAATATGTGGGTAATCCCACATCGAATAAATACAACTAAATGAAATGGCATATAATGTGAAGGGTGAACCAACCAAAATGGCTTAGACCATTTTGTGTTAAAGGTAAGCCCAACTCATTATAAGCCCAATAAAATAACCTACATGAATGGCATATAATTGAAGGGTGAACCCAAACCAAAAATGGCTTAGACCATTTTTGTTAAGGGATTCAAGACTGGACCCAACTCTAAAGGTAAGCCCAACTCATTATAAGCCCAATATTAAATAAATAATTGAATTGGATTTGATTAATTGCTCCTAGGGCCCAGATTCTCAATAATGTATAATAATAATTTGACTATTAAAAGATCTTTGAGAGAAATAATATTTTTTCAATATGGTTGTAAGCATATACTGTGCAAAATAAATAAAGAAAAAGAGTAATTTGTGATTATTAATAAAGGCGATTAGGAAAATAGATTGCAGATAAGTTGTGTTGGCGTAGACTGAAAGCGTTGTCTCCATTTTTTAAGAATGTTTTGTACACTTTGTTAGCAATAATTGGTTCTTTCTTTACCCTTTTTTTCAGTGCTCGCATAGGAGATTGATAATGATTCTGTCCTTCCTTTAACCCCTTAAGATAGGATTTGACCTTGGATCTAACTACCAACCCTAATATTTAAAAAAAAAAAAAAAAATTTACCAACGGCATTAACAGTAAAAAGATTGAAATATAACTGCCGAAATTAGTAATTAATTGAGATTTTTGTCAACAACCAACAACTTATATCAAACACATCTCACTGTTCGTTTGACAATTATCAAATTCACAAAATGACTATCAGAAGTCCTCTTAAATCTTAAATTTGATAAATCAAAGGGAATCGAGTGAACAATAGAGGTGAATATGAATTTTCAATTAACATTCATTTTTTAAGTAAATTTTATTAATGATTTTAAAATTAGTGTGCTGTGCAGTTGTACACTGGTATTTTAATGACCAAAATCGCTGCAAAAGCAAAAGTGAACTGTCTCTCCTCGCATTACGAATTAATTAAGATCAGTTTCTTTGAAATTGGACCAAAAATGGCGTCGATAACAAACTTCAATGACTTGCTCAACTTCTCCAGGTAAAGTATGCCAATACCAGATCTGCTCACGCAAGTTGACTCTCGATACTTCCATGGAAATTGCGTACCGTTCTTTGTCTTTATTATTATATTCAGTTTCATTATTTATTTATTTATTTATTTATATTATATTTTTGCGTTTCAAAGTCTCTCTACAGTTTGCTTTACCTGTCCCCATTTTTATAATCATTTCTTGCTTTAACCTTTTTTCATGTCCTCTTCTCCCTCTCTCTTTCTTGAAATATTTTGCTTTGCTCGCAATTTTGATTAATTTTTTCTTTTACTATTCAATTTTTTTTTTATCTGGGTATGTCATTTTGCTCCTCCTTCTGCATGCTTTCTTGTGTCTTATTTCGGTAAAGATTGGCCTTTGGAGTTGACAGGTGTTTCATCTTGAGTTCCTGAGTGATTGAGGGGAAATGGTATTTTCGTTGATCAATTCAGAAGCTGAAATTTACTGGTTTTGGTAGAGGAAAGTTTAAAAAAAAAAAAAAATGAAGGATTTTGCTGGGACTCCAGGAACTGTGACCGCGCTTGCTTTGAGGATTTCGCAGTGTATTTTTGCGGCCGGCTCAATTACTGCCATGGCCACCACCTCCACTTTCTTCAATTTCACTGCTTTCTGGTATTATTCGTTCTTTTGACCATCCTTATATGATTATTAGATGTTTGAGCTGCTTTTGAATTCAGCTGTTGTAGTCCATTCTTTAGGGGTCATTGAAATCGAAATTTGTCGTTTCAGTCTTGACAAATAAAATTCAATCGATTAATAGATTTGGAGAAGTTGACTCGGGCAATCTGCAGCGAAATTAGGTTTCTGTATTCCAAATTTCCAATAATCAATAATGCATGATTTAATTTAAGATGCATAATTATTTCCTTGATGATGTTTCATTCCCTAAAATGTCATAGCTGCACAATTAGCTTGATCGCTGAGGAAATTCAGATTTTTCTTATGAAAAAAAAAAAGTTATGAATTCAAATATTAATTAACTGGAAATTTTAGAAGGGACTGTGACTTCTATGGCTTTTGCTAGTGACAAAAATCGTTTATCATATTTGGCATTTGCTACATTATGAATTTATTAGAATTAAAATGAGAAAAATTGCACCTTTTTCTATTGCTAAAGAAGTTACTGAAATTAGCTTGAACATCCTTTGTTCCTAGCTAGTTTCTTTCCCCTTAGAGGATGGCACTATATTTACAATTGTTCCAGTGAAAACCCGAGGCCTTAATATATGTATGCTCCCAAATTCTTTGCCGTTGAACTTGGGACTCTTTCTATTGTGTATAGGGATGATCTCAATAATAAAAAAAAAGGAACATAGAGGAAAGAAATTGTGCCTTTTTATTTGTAATGATATGAGGATGTCAAAACTCTAAAGCTATGAAGTCGAATAATGTTAAATCCAAATGCTGCATTTGATTATCGAAATACCTCTCTGGTTTACTTTTATGTTAGTCTATTCTTGTTTTGAGCCTATTGGATCATTAGTCAATAGTACTTCTCAAATGCATGGGGCAGACTGTTTTAAACTTGAAGGAAGGAGGTGCTAATTAGTTATAAAGTTAACAGTTTTCATGACTCCGAATATTTTAATTTTTAGCTGCATTAGCACAAAAAAAAGTGTGCTATTGCTTGAATGAACATATTTATACATAAATATATCTGTTAAATACAGTTGAAATTCTATTGGAGTTGCAATCCTTGTGAAGGTGAAGTATTTTGTGATTGTTCATCTTATGGTTAATTCTTATTAGATGCTTTTTGATTGACTTTCTTTCAGTACCTCCATTTCCTTCCTAGTTTTGCTGTTATGTTATTGTAGTCTTTGAGCTATGTTTTTATGCAGTCTTATCTGTAATCCATGGAATTATACTGCAGCATAGTGCTATCTTCATCTTGTTTTGTTTTTTTTTTTTTTTTTTTGGGGGGGGGGAAAAATTTTTTATTACTGCAGGCCATTTTAAGTGCTAATCTTCATCTTGTTTTTGTTTTTTTTTTTTTTTTTGACATTAATATTGATTCATTTATTTATTAAATAAAAAACGAGCAATACAAATGGGAACAATATTCCCAATGTTCGAAAAAACAAAAGCCCCATGAGAAACTGATTTAGCTTAATTACATGAGCTTATATCATTTGCTTGTCTCTTATTGCAAGCCAGGTTGACATTTGGCAATTGGACTAAAAGAAAGCTTTACATTCCAGAAATAAAACTGACTCCAAACTCAGGACCCAATCTTGGACAGAATCTTGGACAGAATTTCTCATAGCACAGTAAACCTGCAGACAATCGGTCTCAATTTGAATCTTCAGGCTGGAGTAGCTCGATATCAACCAAGACAACACCTTTCTTAGCGCCTGAGCTTCTGCTACTGCTGGAGAAGAACAACCTTGCAATGAAGACGTTGCTGCTGATACAAACCCCCTGTTGCAATTTGAAATGACAGCGCCGACAGTTCCATGGCCAACAGAGGGAAAAAGGGTAGCATCAAAATTGATTTTAAAAGTACCAACAGGTGGTGGGAACCATTGACTACCTGCAGGAGCATCGGTACCTGTACCTGAACCTGACAGCTTCAGCTAGGCTTTCTTCCAAGATGCGAGCATACTTCTGACTCGAGTAACCACAGGATAAGGTCCTTCTTCCACTTGATTCCATTTCAGCTCATTACGGCTTGACCAAACACTCCATAGTCCCATAACAAAACTTTCAAAAAATTCGTGCTCCCACACCTTGTGTAAATGTTCCAACAATCCAACCAATTGTTAATTGTGTAAATGTTCCAACAATTGTAAGAAACTTGGAAAATTCCCAGTAGTAAGCTGAATACCGAAAAACTGCCAACAAAATCTCACTCGTGGACACTCGACAAGAGCATGGACTAACGTTTCAGTGTTACCACAGTAATCGCATCCTGTATCAAGCTCCAGTCATCTTGTTTTGTTATTCCCACAAATTTTTCCTCTCTAAGCATGCCATACCATTTGGTCAATCATGTTTTGGCTAGGCCCATTCTGCAGTTGGAAAAAATCTACCCAATTAACATCACTGCACGCAACAGTCAGCATCTTCAGCCAAAAAGTGCTAAGAACGTTGATTATTAGATAACTGATTCATACTCCACTGCCACTTAACTTATTTTGCATGTATGCACCCAGTCTTATAATAAGTCGAATGCAAAGCCCAAGGTAGGAAATGTAAAAAATTTACTCCTCTTTTTTTTTTTTTTTTTAAAGCGTGTCACAGGGTTTACAAAGGTCATTATGGAGCTTTGGATTGGATTATTAGATGCATATTTCCTTGGCCCGGTAAGATAGGTTCTGCCACAACTCTATCTTGTAGTTGGAGACTGGGTTTCAGCCTCCATTAACCTTCTTTTTTTTTTTTTTTTGCAGCTACCTAATAGCTTCAATGGGTTTACAAGTCATATGGAGCTTTGGACTTGCATTATTAGATGCATATTCCTTGGCCCGGAAGAAGGTTCTGCACAACTCTATCTTGGTCAGCCTTTTTGTAGTTGGAGACTGGGTCAGCCTCCATAACCTTTACTGTTCTCTAATCATTGGTCACCAAATCAAAAGATTTTTGTGTTCATATGGTTGTTGTTTAACAGCATACGTTTCCAACAGGTAACGGCAACATTGTCTCTTGCAGCAGCTTCCGCCTCAGCAGGCATCACAGTGCTCTTGTTTCATGATGCTGGAAATTGTGGTTATTTGGGCGAATGCCAACGGTACGAAGTGTCTGTGGCATTGGCCTTTTTAAGCTGGATAACCATTGCAATATCATCTCTGATAATGCTATGGCTACTAGCGGCAGGTTAGACAATTTCTTGCTTGTGATAAAGAATTTGTTTCTGAACACTAAAAAACCCATGTGTCATAGAAGTTTTCATTATTCTACAGTGTCAATACGAAAAAGAAATAGAATTTGTTTCAAATTTTACATTCATTTGGATTCGGATTTATTCTTTTTCTATTTTGCAACAAAAAGAAATGGATAGCTGATTGTGATCACTGATCAATAGATGGAACTTCCACAACATTGTAATGTTTGAATAGAAAGTATTATAATTACAACAAGTTTACATTTTCTTCCAAAGGAGTCGTTTTGTCTTGGCATTATCGGTTGGCAATATATGTCTGGAACTGCATAAGATTAGTAGAGGAAAGGTTTTTGTTTCTTAGCATTTGTTTGTACCAAAAACCAGACATTAAGTTGCTCTTTTTTGCTTACTATCATGTTTGTCCTGTTTATGTATACTCTCTGTAGGTCAATTCCTCTGTCATTATCCATTACCGACCTTCCTACTAAACAATTTAAACAAATAGAACTGTCTTATCATCTAACTACCCTGTTTTTTTCTCTGTATCTTGAGCCACCTTTATCTTTGTCTAGTTGAAATCAAGTGCAACCAAGAAATGTTTTGCTATATTTTAATTCCCAAGTATGCAATTTATAAACTGATTTTTACTGTTAATACATGTAGGACTGTATTATTCTACTAGGATTTAACTGAGATTGGAGAATGATGATTATATATGTCAAAAGGCACGTTGGATTTAATTGAGATTTCTTTTGTTTTTATTCAAAGTAAGCTTTTATTTGTTGGCATTACGTTCTTGAATTTTTATTTTTATTGAAGTAAAATCCTTAATTGTAATGACTATTTTTTATGTATTACGTTATTATCGAATATATTTCTTACCATTACCATTAATGATTTCCATTTTCCGTTATTCTCAGTTAATTTAAAATTTAATTTTTATGTAAATAAAAATTGAAGAATTCAATATTGATAAATAAAAATTTAATCTACAAGTTTAAAAATTCAGAAGCTTAAATATGCGACTGAGAAAACTAATACTAGCACGAGATTCTATAATAAGAAAGTAAACAACTTGTATTTTTCATTCTCAAAATATGGTGAATTGAACTTTGTAGGACAATTTGAGGAATATGGGGATATAATATTTTGAGATGCTTAATGCAAGAAAAAAGGAAATTCATCCCTAACTTTCATCGTCAGACAGATCAAAGTATGCTTATTCCCAACACCAAGTTAGTGGGTTGGTAGCCCACTTCTGACTTTGCCCTAGTAAATCGCTGGTATGTTAATTGGTGAAACTATTTCCGTTAAATTTATATAAATTATAAATTATTTTTAATTTAATATTAATTTCTTAAAAAATTATTAAATTGAAGTAATAATTATTGGTCCTATATAAAGGGTAAACGTGAAAAAAATAAATTTATTATCTCTGAAACCATGTAATAAGTATTTTGAAATAAACTATTTTCTAAAATGTGACAATCACCGTGAAATAGAGATAGTATATGAAAATATGATATTGAAAAAAAAGGGATCTGATCGCTTTATTTTGCCCCAACACTAAATTAAAATATGGCATCCTCAAAAAAGAAACAAACCTAGAGAATTTGACAAATGATAGGCATGCATAATAGTCAGTGATGACTTATGTACACGCATGTCATTTATTTTTCTTACTACTTACACGTAACATAACAACTCCTTACAAATTATATGCATACAAGCTCTTCGGTGTAAAACCACTGACTAGCAGACGCTCATCTTCTTTAATCAATTTCTCTCATCTTCTTTTGGTTTCTCTTTGTTCTATGCGAAGATTGCCAAACGTGCTCGACATCCTCTACACTGTAAGTATGCAAATTTCACTTTTGTTGTGTGTTGAAATTTTTATTTTATTCATTCTAAAATGAGAGATGTTAGAACTTTTCATGTTACGATTATCCTACTGCTCTAGTCCAAGCTTCGTATACAGCAAGGAGGGGAAAAAAATTCGAAGGAGGAATATTATACATTCCCTGAAGAAACAAAGTGTTGTTTTAGCTTTTGCGATATATATGCCTCTATTCCATTTTCTAATGGCAGAATCATTCTGTGACGTTCTAATATATACTTTCAATCTGATATATAATAATTATAAGGACAACTCACGAATTGCCTGACTTTTAAAATCAAAGAGAAATAAATTCGAAGGTATAGTTATAAGAATTAGATGCTTTCTTTGTTCCAAGTTCTTGTAGATCACACATATAATATATATGAAATTTCTTCTAGAGTGTATATAAGGAAATAATTTTATCAAGTAGATTAATAATGCTCTTATGAAATCACAAATAAAGAATTACATTGCGGTCAGCTGCTACATATGAAAAAGAAAAGCATAAATTCCTTTACAGGATATATATTTTTTCCATTGATTAATCAAGTTATCCAAGTTTCCCAACTAGCTAGATCAAATGAGTGAAATTACAAATATTATATATTACTAATTATTTATATAAACGATAATTATACATTTAATATACTATTAATATAAATATATTAACAATTGCATTCTAATTTATGCATATTTATATTCAAAAGAGTATATTGAGACTCCTTTGCCAAAAACATTCTTTCTTTTGAAATAGTTGCACTGAAAGCCAATTCCATAAACGGGAAGTTTACTTTGGTATGCAAAATTGGTTTTCGAAATCTCAACCAAAGGGCCTATGACTATAATTAAGGTGGTACAAATATGACAAGCAATTAATGTAAGATGCTTAATTTCTTCTACCTTTTCTCTATGTCCTCTATGCAATAGTGGCTGATGAGTGGTGATGGTGACATTAATCTCATGGAATATAAACAGAAAATTTTTGCTGCATAAAATATTTCTTTCCATTTTCTTTCCCATATCTGGTAAACATTCAACAATAAAAGAATATGATATTCTGGGAACATGATGCTAACAACAACATGCTACAAGAATAAACACCCATTTTTGTTTTTCTCAAAAATTTATCAATTATCTTCTATATGAATGGGCAGGTTGTGCTCCTGAAGGGAAAGAACCAGAATTTTGATATGGATTTCAAGTCTATTGCTGACCTTTACACAAGGTTTAAGCCACACCTGCTTATGGTTCTCGCACAGATTGGCTATACTTTTCTCTACTTTATCACTGAAGCTTCTTTTAAACATGGAATGAATCCTCATGTCTACATTACTTATAGACATATTGTTGCTGGTGTAGTAATGCTTCCTTTTGCCTATTTTCTTGAAAGGTAATAGTTCATGCAAATTTTATTTTATGTTATTTTACGATTCTCATATCTATACTTAACTCTTCTCCTGCAGAAAACAAAGGCCGAAGCTAACATTAGCTCTATTTTTGGAAATATTCATCCTCTCTCTCCTGGGGTAAGAGCATATGTTGATTTATATAATTTAATTAATGAATGCATCTGGATAATTAAGAAAATAAAATTTGAAAAAATACAATATTTATAGCGTTTTTTGAATGTTTACAGCGTGGGTTTGACTCTGAACATGTATTTTGCAAGCCTGAAATACACCTCTCCGACATTTCTTGCATCAATGGTTAACACCATAGCTTCCTTGACTTTTGTAATTGCGGTTGTATTAAGGTTAGTTAACTTTATTCCATAATTCTAAGGATACATGCATATATGTCCAACTATTGTTAAATTAATGCTATGCAGGCTGGAGAGTCTTAATCTTCGAAATCTTCGTGGGATAGCGAAAGTTCTAGGAACTTCAATTTCCTTGGCAGGTGTAATGATTATGACATTATATAAAGGTCCTGTGATGAAAAATCTTTGGGATCCTATAATCCATATTGGTGGAAAAACTGCAAGCAATCAAGAGAGCTGGTTAAAGGGTTCAATTCTTACTGTTGCTAGCTGCATGTCATGGTCTATATGGTATATTATGCAGGTTAAGCTTTACACTTTACTTTTATTTTATCAGAATGTGCTGCACTTAACTAAACAGAAAGAACAGAAACTATGGCATTTCGTATCAACAAATAAAACAGATAAAATTTATTCTGATATATAAATTTTTGACAATTATCTTTTAGGCATTTACCCTAAAAAAGTATCCTGCTCAACTATCGCTGACTACGTGGATGAGCTTTGTTGGGGCTGCACAGTCAGCTTTCTTTACCGTTATTGTACAACATAAAAAAGCTGCTTGGACAATTGGGTTCAATATCGATTTCTGGTCTGCTGTATACGGTGTAAGTACAGAAAGCCCAATGTTTTATTTTGGATTAATTAATCATCGACGGCACTAATTCTTGAATTCAATTAATTGAATTATTTATATGGCAGGGAATTGTGGTATCAGGTTTAATAGTTTATGTTCAGCTGTTTTGCACAGAAGCAAGAGGACCAGTTTTTGTAACCATGTTCAATCCCCTTTCAACAATATTAGTGGCAATTTTAGCATATTTTGTTCTTGGTGAAAAACTATACCTCGGCAGGTAATTTGGAATTGAAATAACTGAATATACAGTTATATGCGTATAAATAAAAGCATTAAAATGTTCAAAATGTTTTGCGGCTTGTACAGCATATTGGGAGCTGCTGTTGTAATTGTAGGATTATATTTGCTGTTATGGGGCAAGGAAGGTGACCAACAACAAATTCATAGCAAATCACAAGATCAATCTTACGATGAGGAAGAAGAGAGCAAGAAATGCAAAGTTGCTTCAGTTTGAAGTAAAGTGAAACTTGGCGAACCTTGGGGAGATATTGTTACCATATGTATACTTCCTTTGAAACATGAGAATAGAAATTTCTTCAAAGATCAATCATCAACAGCGTACATAAATAATTAACTTGCTTTTATCATTTCCATCGAACTATATTTTTTGCCAATCCCAACAATGCATTAGTCATAGTAAACTGTCAAAGTCGGGCAGTGAAAAATGCAGTCATATTTACATTTGAACAGGAAAAAATCATTGGACTATTTTGGGAGAAAAAGAAAAAACATCTAATGGCGATATTAATGAACAAAACAAAAATTATGCAGCAGGAGGCCAGAACTCATGGTCACGGGATGTATCGCAGGCAGCAGGAGGCAATTGCCACATTGGTATCAGACCATAACTTGGAAAGACTGCCATCTTATTCACCCCAGTATGATAGGTTGCTGGATGGGCTGGCATGAATCCATGAGGAACAGCCATAACCTTCAATTGCTGCTCCATCCTTTCTTTATCTGCCTTCAGCGTGAGTTTCTCTTCACGAAGTTCATTCTTTTCAGCCTGTTACGAGGCAACAAAATTTAAAAAACTGGCACCCAAAAGAAAGAACTAGAGTAGTCCAATCCGAAACATAGTAAGGAATTCCAGGCTTTAACCTATACTAATTTACACAGCCTAATTTATAATATCCCCATGTCACCGAAAGACTGCTAATGAAAAACCAGTTGGCATTGCACTTCATTATGATTTCAAAATTACTACCTTCAGACTTTTTATTTCTTCTAGAAGCTTTTGATTTGTTTCTTTGAGCTCCTGAGCTTCAGTTTTCAGTTGATTCAGAACTCTAATAGCGTCATCAAGTATGGCTGGTTTGTCAGTTCTCGCGGGTCTGCCAGGTTCTAAAACAGAGCTCAAATCATGAAACCTGCAATCATGGTAAAACCATCCTGTCTTTTATTTCTACAATTTAAATGCGAAAAATGAGTTCAGAGCTCCAAAATAGCATCACATGATTAGCATCCTATTCAATAAATTGCAAATATAAAATTCTTATTTACCTTGCTAAAAACTCACTCCAAATTCTTGGGACAAATTACAATTTTCTGCATTAGTTGCCTTCATTTGTGTATTTTAGCTCAAAATGGTTTATTCTTAAGCAAACAAAGCCATGATGTATTGTAACACAACAAGAAGCATACCTGTCATTTAATCTTTCCCTCCGTAACTTTTCTCGGCAAGCTTTGGTCACCGGTTTGCTGCAAGAATCGCTGCGTCCCCTGTATATCAATATTAAGAGAGAAATTATTATGAAAACCGACTAGCAGAATAACGTGAGAATGTAGTTTTATTTACCAGCAAAGGAAATTTTTCTTAAGATTAGACTAGCACATTTAGTAACTAAAAAACCTCTTAAATGCCGCATGACACTTCGAATTTTATTATTCCTAGGATTACAGAAGCAACTTTAGTTGAAAGAAAAGATGTGAGAAACCACAAATTATAAGTATTTGGTACATGAGACTTCATCCTTTTCCCCTTACTGTTTCTAACTAGGAAGGAGCAAATTCAAACAAGTCTTAATTGCAAAATTGCAACAATTTCAAAAGCGTGATTCAATTATATGAAGGAATACTTCAGAAGTTCATTGGTGAAGACAGACAACCAATAGAACATATTAGATATCGGAACATAAAGCCTTATGATTCAACATGTAAATCAGAATAGGTATAATTCATGCTCCATGTACAGCACATAAATTAAGCAGTCCCAAAACCCTATGCATACTTCATCCCCAGTCAAAGCACAATTATTAGAACATCTACTATGGCTATGAAATTCTTAATCCCTAACAAATAATATTCTTCAGCAACAGGAGCAAAGTAATTAAATTGAAATAAAAAAAACTAGTAGCGTAAATTATAGGGAAATGAAAAAATAATACCTCTTGCGCGAGAATTGTTTTGCTTCAGATACAGTACCAGAAGAAGAAAAATCAATATCCACGCCGCCACCGGCGCTGTCGCCACTGCAATTATCAACGATTGGATCAATTTTCATAAAATTCATGTCCCAACTAGTATTTTAAAAGCACAAAAGAGACGATTCCTATATATCTTTACAAACTTATGACATGATAAATTTCTCGACTTTCTGATACTTCAATTTGGGAAAGCAAAAAACCTAATGAAATCAAAATAAAAGTAAATACTAAGTGAAACAACATCGATTTATTAATTTAAGGGCAGAAAAATCAACGATAAATAGATACCCTAAATCAGCTGAAAAAACAAATACCTTTGATTATTATGCCATAAGAAATCAGAAGACGTTGCGGTTTCGTCGATAAAGTTATAATCAAGAAAATCCCAGCAACAGCCGTCCTCTAACGAATCCATGGGCTAAGGTTGGTGGGAAATTGATCAATTCGATGGGTTTTAATTAAAAACCTAAAAAAAAAAAAAGAAAAGAAAAGAAAAGAAAGAAAAGAAAGAGAGATAAGATGATTATTGGTTTTGAAAATTAAAATTTGGGGATGGACCGAAAAAGGCATGGTGAAAGAAAGGTCCAATACATTTAGAACACGTGTAAGGAATCAATCGTGATTGGGTTGCGCGCCGCCGCGTCAATTTTTTGCTTTGTTTTGAGGACCGAGTTAACTGATTAATTGTCTGCGCCAACCCACCATCACTGACTTTCACTTTTACCCTTTTCTTTTGCCACATATTTCCTCCGTTCTAAAATTTTAATTTTCAATTTTTTTCATATTATTTCTTATTTTTCCATTAGTATATCTTTAAAGATCTTAATTAATTATCTTTAATTTTTGTTCCATTATCTAATAAATTCAACCAATGATTATTATAAACCGGGATTGTAAGAGAGTGAAAAGAAAAAAAATATATTTTTAAAAATACAAATGAGACTATTATTTTAGAACACTAAGAGATTTTAATTTTGAATCGAAGGGATATCAAGTTACTAACACAAGCTCATGCTATTGCATTTTTAACCCAGCAATAAATCATAAACATTTGCGAACATACATAATTCATTCAACTGATTTGAATTTATTCAATTTGTGAAGTTAGCATTCGGAGCTTAGCTATCCACTGTTCATAACCCTCAAATAATTAGCAGAGAGGATTTCATCGATAAATTAGCCATATTATTGAACAATCAAATGACACGAGCTTCATTTCTAAGCTTGTCAATCAATTCATCCACAGAAGAAACAATAACCCCAGCTTTTCTCTTGGGTGGATCTGTAACTTCAACGATCTCTAGATCGGATTTAATTTCCACTTTTAACTCCTCCGGCGTGTATTTTTTGATGACCTTCGATTTTGCTTTCATGATGTTTGGCAGCGTTGCATACCTTGGTTGATTCAGTCTCAGATCAGTGCTGCACGAGGAGATAAACTTGAATGCATCAAAATATGACATCTATACACAATATACATGCAAACACGGCTGAAATGCAAAACGCCGACCATTCTCTTTTTCTCATATTTGGATCTAAAAAGAGTCGTTCATCGAAGTTAATAAAGGAATTCAGTCACCAGAGATCATCTCTCTGACTGCATGAAGTCGATTGGCTTTGTATTTACTGCCATAAGATGTTTTAGTAGCACACAATATGATGATTACAGCAGCCTGCTTGAAGAAAAATAAGCTACTGAAAGACAAAAACAAAATGCATTTTCTTTAGCAATTAATTTATCTTGGAATTATTATATGACTGAGAATGATTTTAATATTTCATCTAGCATCTTAGAGGTTGTATTTATTGGATAATAGGATAAGTTCAGTGATGAAATTACAGTACTATCATGTTTGAAACACCATAACAGTATGCAACTGAGGGGCGTATTTTCCAAAACTTGCCCAACCATATTAGCAAGTTCAAAACAACTGAATACAAACAGAAAATGAGAATCAAATACTTACGTGATTACTGCAGGCAAGTCTAAACACAAAGTCTCAAGACCGCCATCCACTTCTCTTTCTACTGTTGCTACTTGTTTCTCCTTGTCAAGTAAAACCTACTATCAAACAGCAATGTTATTGGAAAACAGAGAACAGAAGAGAGACGGAATCAAAGAATACATAGAAGTCATGAATGGGATAATAGTAGCCCCCTCGTACAAAAACCATCTAGCGACTAGCAACAACAGCCAAAGCATACACATACAAGCAAGATCCAGTTCTAAGACCAACTAGCCACCCCTTTAGCGTCAAACCTTAAGGAATGGACTCAAAACATATTTGAATTCTTATGAAAACAACAGAGAATTAAACACAACCAAAATTAAAAATAATCATTTGAATGCACAAAATATTGTTCCTATTTCCTACACCAATTCAAGGCTTGATGTAAATGCATATTAGAAGGTAAGTGAATGTGAAACAATATTATAGTCAGTACTCGCCATGGTTTGGCAAAATGTAAAATGAACTTTCCTCTAGAGTCCACCATAGAAGTTACTGCCCCTTCACGAAAATAATATGGAATCATTCAGCAACCATTAGCACTGACAAGTTTAAACCGTCTCAGTAGTGTGAAACAGTTGAGCGAAACCTAAGATCCTTCACCAGCCTAGTTTTAAGATACAATTCCAAGGTCAGCAACTGGCCATCCAGTTGCAGCAGAATCTTGAAGCCCCTAGTATTTACATTCTAAATCCACAATATCTAACATTATGCGATAACAATGACAAACTCGAGTCCAAATCCGAAACTTAGTAATATTCTTAATAGACATAAATTGATGTTTCATAATCCTTATGTTTCAACTGTCAACATAATAAGCATCATACCACCCAGTTGACCAGTTTCCTCTAAAAAGAAAATGATGAGAGATATGCTTCAAAATCTTGTGTCATCCCTATAGTCTCTTCTCAACTGTTTCCTACTTATAAGGTTCCCTCTGAATTATAATATATATCACTGGATGTTGAGATTTTCAGTACTCATTCACAAAATCAAACAGCACCACAAACTTCAATGTGCATTCAATTCATCAAACTTGTTGGTTTCCTTTTATTATGTTGTGCATGTACGTCATTGACATAACCAGTCTTCTCCAAGAAGGATTTACACTATACAGAACATTTTTCAAAAGTATGTAAGAGCTGCATTATACTGGAAACATTTGGCATTATTGCCTGCCTCTTTTTAGCAGGGATGCTTGTGAACATACACTAACTAAAGCATAGCATTAATGCCCGCTCACTTTGCTCAACGGCATTGGCAATGCTATCACCCATTCCCAACTAATAGCTCCAAAATACAGTTGATACATTAATTCTTACTAACAAGTGACTAATTGGAAATCATAGAAAAACAGCTCCGGAAAATCAAATTTGCCACAACAGCATACCTTAAAGGTTAACCCTTTCTTTTACAGCCAACCGATAGAAACATACAACTATATCAAAGAAACAAGAGACACAAGAAAAATAAAATAGAACCTAACAGAGGAGGCTCCTATTCAAGAGTGCCAATTGAATGATGGCATACATCTGGCTAACCTTTGAAGCAAATGTCCCTTGAGGCCAACCAAGCAACCCCGCAACCATTTGCCCTGTTTGATTGCAATCATCATCAATGGCCTAAACCAAAAACCCACCTATTAGATAACAAGTAAAGCTCCAAAATAACTCCAACAAAAAACAAAAATTAATTAAATTTCTCAAGAACTTAGATAATAAGAAAATAAAATTCAATACATTAACCAACCTGCTTTCCCATAATAATCAGCCCGGGTTTCTCGACCTCCACAAGAGCCTTCAAAAGCTTAGCCACAGTAAGCGGATACAAAGCACTAGTAGATTCCACATGAATCCCTCTATCCGCTCCCATGGCTAGACCCGTCCGCAGCGTATCAACGCACTGCGCGGAGCCCATGCTCACTGCGACAACCTCAGATGCCAATCGCGCCTCCTTGATTCGAAGCGCCTCTTCCAAAGCTATCTCGCAAAATGGATTCATTGACATCTTAACATTCTGGGTCTCCACTCCGCTCTAAACCAATAAAATAAATTAGAAAACATAATCAAGCATCTAAAGTAAGTGTAAGTTTCTGGAGTTTGATGAAGATGGTTATGGTGATTTACCTTATCAGGTTTGACTCTGATCTTCACGGCGTAATCGATAACTCGCTTTACGGCCACCAAAATCTTCATAGTTGCTGTCTGAACTGGACAGAGAGAGCGAAAACTTAAAACTGGCGAAAGCTAAAGAACTAAAAACGATTTGGATAAAATAAAACAACTTTTAAACTTAAAATTTACGTGTTAAATTAGTTTTGGATCAATAAAATATTTTATAAAACTATAAAGGCAAATTATCCAAATCTTTTAATTTGAAAGCTTATCCGAATACTTTTATTGAAAATGGTAAACCCTTTATGCTGTAATTTAGAAAAGGAACGTGTAATTGTGTATATTACAAGCCAATAAGACAATAAGTTATGAGTTTATAGATATTTTTATTAAATTCAGACTAAAAAATAAATAAAAAAACAAAATCTAATACGTGTAAACAATAGCATGTTGGTTTTAATTCTATAAAAAATAAAATTAAGATTGAACTGCTGAAATACAGTTGCTAAGATAATTTCAGAACTATCGTTTTTAATTTGATTCCGGTTGGAAACGCAACTATAATCATATGCCTGCGTGTGGGCTTTAGACATGGGACATTGCTTCCCAACCGGTCACTGAAAGAATAGCCCTTGAAGAACTCAGCACTCCTGAGAAGCAACTAAATAATCCTATACTTGTTTGTCTCTTCCTTAAAAAGAAAGTCGATAAGGGCTACTAATACTCGCATGGATCTGAGTGCTTATTGCTTCCTTGCTTACTGATGGCGTGGCATTTTATGCAGTAATGTTATTGTTATTTGCATCCAATCGTTGGATAAAATGGGCTTACATTAGATGTTGGCCCTTTGATCGTGGGCCTGAGCTAAGTCCATCTAAAGACACTTCGAGTAATAAAGGTCACAGTCCGTCCGGAGATCTGAGTCAAACTCTTTTTCCTTTTTTAATTCATCCAACGCTGAATACGTGAAAATAAATAATAGTGTGAATTCATTTGACTCACTTAATCAGTGAAACTCATAGTTGAAAAAACAGAGTCTTTTCTTATTTGAGATTATTCGCTATTAATATTAAATTTAAATTTAATATGTTATATTGAAAATTTTAAATATTAATCACTGAAATGCCTACTTCAAAAAAATATAATTTAATTTTAAATTTTTTTAATCTATTTTATATTTGGTGAAGAAGAAGAAGCGGAGGAGGAATTGACTGATTTATTTCTCGAAAAAGACGGAGGAGGGCAATGGAGACCAATGGGGTCCCTAATGCATGCCACAGAGAAGGCTTGCACTATCGTTGCCGCCCATACATAAAAGCACATGGCTGAACAAAAGTTTTACGTCATCGGATCATACATACATAACACAGACACAGATGATAGATGCAAGACTTGTTATTGTAATATTTTCAAAGTCAGAATCTGTTGATAATAAACCAAGAATTCAAAATCCACCAGACAACAACAAACTGAAAACCAATTTAGTGCCTATCTAGTGTAGTTATATTGTCAAACGCATCGGAAACCAATGTGTGGCCCTTCCTACATAAATGTCCACATATTTTTGTTACCTCGAAGTAGCTGCATCTTTCATTGTCCTTGGGTTGGACTCGACCAAAAATAATAAATGACCATTTCCCATTGTTTCATTACTGTAGTTCTGACCAAAGGTGGAATTCTAATCTTCAAAGTTTGAGCTAAGCTCGAGTTCGATTTAAAACAAAAAGAAAATATAATTTAAAACCGAACATTTATCATTGGGCGACAAATCTGATAATTTTGATTGACAGATTAGCCGATGGTTCTTACAGGCTGGAGCGGAAGTTGATGAGTTAGTAAAACTGTAAAAGAAGCATCACCAACCATGACCAGAAAATATACAGTTATCTACTTTCATCCTTCACCATTATTGGTAGAGGAAGTTGGTGGATATTGGCATCATTATACTAGTTGAAAAGGACCTTTCACTCTATATCTGCCCTCCTAAATCAAAGAAAAGGTGGCTCCTTTGTTACCCTTTTTCTTCTCTTTGAATTTCTTTTTGTAAATTTTCCCTCTTTTTGTACCTCCTAAATCAACAGATGGGACCTCTCTCTACTTTTTCAAATTTTGTTTCATTCTTTAGCAAAAAAAAGAACAAAAAGAAAATAGTAGAAAAATTTTTAATTTTTTTTTTTCAGATTAACCACTTGAATCAATCCAAATTAAAAAATGAAAAAGGAAATGGTAATATCAGCCTACCATAATCATAGTAATAATGACTAATTTAGTAATGAAGAACAGACAGGGCCAGGCCAAAAAGAAAAACCAAGAATCAAATAAAAATTAGAATTTTAGATTTCAATTGAATATTTTCTGTCACAATAAATCCTACTCCTTTAATAAACACAGCTAAAATCACTATATCCTTTGAAAAAGAAAGAAGAATTAATCTAAACCTTCTTTTGAGCCTTAAGGCTCCAAATAAACAGGTAAAACAGCACTTCTTGATCCTCCTCTGCCATGACCAAAAGAAAAGAAGTTTCTTCTTGGTCTTCCATTAACATTACTACTACAACCTTGATCATTAGGACTAACCTCGCCTACTAATTGCCAGCTCTGCTTCTGAGAAATTTCTTGAATTGCTAAATAAAGCTGCCGATCTGCCGATGAGTCCATTGAAAAAGATCTTCTAATGGGTTGAATTGCAAATTGATCATCTTTCCCTCTAATATCAATACATTCATCGCCCATACTTGTTACCTTATTAAATTTCCTTGACTTCTTCTGAGCCGTTGATCCTCCTCCTCCTCTCTGCTCCAATTTCCTCCTCGGAGAAGGGGTACTAATTGACCGGACCGATAACTCTCCTGAATTCATCAACTTTTCCTGTGCTGCAAGCAAAGTTTGATCTGTGGAATTATGATTATTACTTCCCAATTCAATAACAACATAATCTTCATCTCCACCAATCAAACTTCCGCTATAAGGATTTGGATCTTGTGGCGAAGAGCTTGGCGCTATAACATGATCAAATGGGAATCTTGAATTAGTAGCAGGATTGCTTGAAATGCTATTTCTACAAAGTGGGCAATTTGCATTGTTTTGAAGCCAAATATCAATACAATCAATGTGAAAAACATGGCTGCAATTTGGTATTATTCTTAACTTCTCATCTTCTTGAAACTCATTCAAGCAAACCGCACATTCGCTAACTGGATTCTTATAATGGCTTTCCTTCTTGAACTTGAATATCGGGATTGACCTTATTATTGACTCGTCGAGTCCACGATTCTCCACTGCTGGAGGATAACCCATTAATGGGTCTTCATTATTTCTGTTTCTTGATAAAGAAAATCGCCTCAGAAGATCTATGCGGTGCCAGTTGAGGCAGCATTTGATTACGAAGATATAATAGCTAACAAGCAAAAAAGCGGTAGCTAAAATTCCTATTATTGCAACAGCTATAATAGGAAAACTTGTATCTGAAGAATGTAAGCTATTACGAGGTCCAAAGATTGAGTCAGTAGAAGGACTTGTAATTGGAGGAAGAAGAGATTGTTTGCTTTCAAGATCCATGAAACTGGTGGAATCTTCTAGATCTTGATTATAATTCACTGAACATCCAAAAATAATGAAGTCCCGCAAGAAACAGAATATGAGAAAATATTAATGGTGAGAACTGAGGACAACCAACAAAGAAAGATTTGAAATTAAGGAGACAAGTGTAGAATCAAGAAAGATGTGAGAACGTGGAGAAGAGGGAAAACCCAGGTGGGGTAAATGAAGGAGATGCGTAAATGGAGACATGAAAGGTTTGAAATTCAATGAAAATGAGCTTTTAAACAATTCTTTAAAGCAGAGAAGGAGGAAAAAGAAAATAAAAATAAAAACTCTGAACTAAAGACTACGTAGTTGGTGAATTTTCCTTCGGTTTTAGTAGCAACAGCGTATAAAAATGAAGAGGGATTGCTAGGATGGGCGGCTGTCCAGCATGGATGATAGGCAGCTTTGCTTTAGTTAGGGGACCAATACACAGCAGCTAACCACTCATTAGGAACAATGTTTCTGTTGTTACGATACTATTAATCTTGATTGATTTAAAGTCTTAACTAACTACACAATTTTCCTTTTTTTAATTTCATTTTTTTGTTGGACAGAAATCTTTAAGCTACAGTTATCAGAATTTAAAATCTTATTTCATTATAATATATACTTAAGAGCCATCGGATTAATAATTTAAGAATCAAAATGAATCAGATAATCAAGATTACGTAAAATTATTTACCATTACTAATTAATATTAATTCTATTATTATATTGAGTATATTGCACCAGTAAATGCTATTATGAGAAGCTGAAGTAATTTATTCTAAGTATATAAAAATAGAAAGTAGAGACAAGTTTAATTAAAATTGATGAATGTGAAAATGATAGGGAGCATGGGGTTTTTCCAAATGGTAATGATTCAAAAAGACTTGACTTTTCATACACTCGTTCATTTTATTTTCAATCATAAAAGAGATTTAATATTTATAATTTTTTAATACCCACATGGAAGCCAACATCACTATGACTTGCCATGGATTAATTGGTTCATAATTAGACAGAATTGAGATTAATTAATTAACTTCCATTAATTGCAAATATAAACAGACAACGTGTATATATCTAAGTTTGCATTCACACCTAAAATTATGTAAAATTGAAAAAAATATAATAATCAATGGACCTCCCTCCACTCCAATTTGAAATGCCATACGAAGAATCATCATATATAATATCAAATGAGAAATCAACGTTTAAAGGGAAAATAATGTTGTGGTGGGTCCAAATAGGATAGCCTCTTTGTCCAAAAAGAGACTGCCATAACATAAGAAAGAAAGAAAGTCAAAACCGTAGAAATCTAATAGAAATAGAAGAAGAGGACACAATTAAAGGCAGAACCGACACTTCCCATGCTTGCGTGTTGACAACTTATACCAAAGACAAAAGCCAAACCAAAAATTAATCTTATTTCTTTCGTTTTTTTAATTAAAAAATTATATAATTTTTTTAAAAAAAAGTTGCATTCCACGGTCAAATCTTTGCAGCCTCTCTCTCTGCCAATGGCAATCCAAGATTGAAAGAAACTTAATTCGCTTTCCTAGATCGGTATGACTTTCTGAATGTTCTTTTTTTTTTTTTTAATTTATAAAAAGAAAGAAATATTTGCCTTGCTAAACAAGCTCATCAGAGTAGCTAAAGGTGGAAATATGAGTCGTCTTCTTGGTTGGTTGGTTGGTTTGTCCTTTGAAAGTTTTAATCATGTCTTCGGTTTTCTTTCTTGTTTCTGGGTGTATGTGGACTACTCATTTCATCGCAATCTTGCTATAAAATTTCACTTGTTTGTTTAACAAACATTCCTTCCTTTTTTTTTTCTAATCCCTCCTTAATTCTCTTTTTGATTAATTAATTAAAATATAGTATATTTATTTGGTCTCTCTATTCCACAAGTTATTCTATGTTTGTTAATGGATAATAAACATCACACTCAAAACTCTGAATATCTCAAGTCTTATCGTTATCTTGTCACATAAAGACTTTCTCTTCTTAATTACTACTATGTTTACATTAGATTCAAATATTGTCTTAAATATTAAGTGACAGCTCTACTCCAGTTCATAATTTCCACAATGATAGGTAACCTATATTCCCCGCTTCCAAAACGACAACGTCTAACTTGATCTGCAAGTCAGTTGACTTGGAAGTGGGAAGTATACACCGGTAAACGAACCTTGTCCTAATCTGTAAACCTGAAATAAAAAAACTAAAGTCATATACTCCTCTCTATGTCCTAACTTATTTATTTATATTAACTGAGTAATCTTTCAAAGGTTAAAAGAGTTTATCTATACTAACTGAGTAATCTACATGGAAGAAAGAAATTAATAAATAAAATACTCTGACACATGGCAGGAGGCAACAGCTGTCCATAGTTAGTTTTACCTCTTGGAGGAGTTCCCCAGCTTGGAAAGATTAATTGGAAAATAAAATACTCCAGTACTAACGTGTTTCATAACAAAATTAAATGGAAAAAAAAAAAAAAATTGTTTTTCCAAGGACGGAAATTTCATGCATAGATTGTGGGATCATGGAAATTACAAGCCATAAGATGGATCAAAACACGTGGGTTCTGACGTTGAAAGGCTTTCAGTCACGTGAATGCAAATAGTAAAATTTTGCCAGGGACATGAATCAGGTTCAGGCAGTTGCTATTTTTATCTTTTCAGGTTAGTTTCTCTTCGAGTGATTATATATATATATGTGGGTCTTAAGAGTCCGGTCTTCTACGTTTACCAGCTAGGTATGGGATTGCATGTGGTGTCACGTGCCATGCAAGACATTGATTTTTCTCGGGTCAATTTTATTGCAACTGGTCAACTCGATCGGTCAAAAGTTGAGCAATTGAGAATGAACTGAAGATCCATCTTTGATTTTTCACTATTAAGGTGCACTGTTTAAGCTTTGACGGACTTTAAACTAGTTTTCTATTATCAGAGTTTTATGCGTTCAATTATTGATTAGTTACAGTTTTACTCTTCTTGCTATCATCTACACATTACCAACTGGGTTTGCTTGTAACTCGTTATTTGTATGTAACTATTGCATGATCTTGGACTAATCATAAATCATTTAAATATATTATTACCAAAATTTTAAAAAATAACTTAAATGATAAGATATGCCTAAATTTACCATATGATTTCAGCAAAATCAAGTGACGAATACTCTGAATAATAATATAAATATTGTATACAAAATGGGCCATACTCGGACGTAGGCAAGTGTTTTCCTGCTTTAGTAGAACTTTTGTTTTGACAAATGCGTAAGTGGGCCAAATGACTTGTTTCAGCATGCATCGCCAAACACGGCCCAATGTGTAGGAGGTCTGGGCTGGGCCTTAAAAATCGCTTCAATTCAACCGCTAATTACCGGCAGGCAGTAACTTTTGCAATTTTTATTTATTGGTTTTCTTCTTTCCCTTCTTCTTTGAAAATTCACCCTAAGAGATTAACAGAAAGCTACCCTAATTATCGTCACTAATCAAGCACTCCTTTTCCCTTTTTTTTTTTTTTTTTTTTTTTTTTTTGGTTTAGCTCTTCTTCTGCCTGATCATCTACAGCATTACCAACTGGGTTTTGCTTGTAAAACTGTTATTTGTATGTAGACTGAGTTGCATGAATGCTTGGAGCTAATTCATGAAATCATTTATGATATTGATATACGCGAAAATTTTTACAAAAATTAACTTAAGATGAGTAGATATGTGCCTAAATTGACCATATGATTGTTCAGCAGAAAATCAAGTGACGAAATACTCTTTTGAATAATATATAGAATATTGTAATAGCGACAAAGAGTGGCCATATCTCGGACGTAGGCAGTGTTTTCGCTGCTTTAGTAGACACTTTTGGTTTGGACAAATGCGTTAAGTGGGCGCAAATGACTTGTTGTTCAGGGCATGCAGTCGGCAAAAGACAGCGGCCCAATGTGTAGGAAGTCTGGGCTGGGCCCTTTCAAAAATCGCTTCTAAATTCGAAGGCCGCTAATTAGCGTGCAGGCAGAGTAAACTTTTGCAAATTTTGTATTTATTTGGTTTTTCTTCTGTTCCCTTCTTCTTTGAAAATTCACCCTGGAAGAGATTAAACAGTAAAAGCTAACCCTATATTAATCGGTCACTGAAATCAGCACTCCCTTTTCCCTTTTTTTTTTTTTTTTTTTTTTTTTGGGTTAATAAAAATTTTTTTTTTTTTTTTTTTTTTTTTTTGGGTAAAAATCAGACGTTATAAACTATAGACAAAGTCTAGAATAGACTATGCTTAAAACATCATCAACATCATTGAAAATCTAATTGTACATATCATACGAATACCCATTCAAAAAATGTCCCTAAAAAAATTACTTCCGCTTTGTTTATGAATCGGTCTGTACTTCTATTCATTTCCAATATGAATGATTGAATAATTCCGACCACATTTTTTTATTAAAAAAATGTTTGGAATAAATGATATTATGAGTATCGTTTCATGGGAGAAAATAATAAAAAATGGCACATAACTGATGATTATACAAAAAGTTATCTTTTCACGTTCTTAACCTTCAAAATATGAACAAACACTTGCATTGGTTTGTCTAGTAACTTCCAAATATTGTTGATTTCACCAACAATGTCGTTTCCAACATTAAAAACATGTTTATTTCAAAATATTAACTTACATTTTCAATTTGGAATATTAAGTTTCAATTTTTTTTTTTTTTTGACTTGTTTTATTATAAATTTGACAAATAAATATCATAACTGAGATTCTTATAAACGATAAAAGAATTATTTAAATCATTGCGAAGATAATAACATTGTCACGACCCGATTCCATGGGCCGGACCGGCACTAGGGCCCAGGTAAGCTTAAGGCCCCCGAGACCCGTAGTAAGCCTGAAACACTAAAACCGAGACCGCGTAAGTAATGTCTGAAACACTAAGAAATTTTATGGTATCTCTAATATAATTTTTATAACATTGCAGCCCTATAATTAAATTATGTAAAGAATAAACCTGAATTATTTTATACTTTCTCGGCCAAGTTTATCTTGTAACAGCATTCTATATGTTCGAGCCCCATTTACAATATAACACAATATGTTTAATATGGGCTTGACAGAATGTATTTTTGTCTGATGTGTAATTTACAGCTAATATATGTAAATTCTTATCTTACTGCGAGTCAATAACTGTTTGTTATGAGCATGGAGCTTCTGTATACATAAATTACTAGACAAACCAATTATTGGCACTGGGAAAACTTCTGTTCTTAAATAATGCCTGGCGGCGGAAAGTAAACAGATAGCTTACACCCGAAATTACAAGAGAAACTACTCCTGAAGAAATTTCAAGCAAGACTATGTGAGATTG